TGTTCCTGCCCAGGTTTCCTCACGTGGTTTTGGGGTTCTAGAGTCAGTTGCTGTGGATTCATGGGAGAAAAAAGCAAAGTGGAGTTTGTGGGAGCATCCGAGAGCCTGTGGGTGGTTCCACTGGAACTCCTCGCAGGACCGTGCGCACCAGCGTGGCGGAGGGAGCTCACGCCTGCTCTGGCACGCCCGTAAGCCGGCCGCTGGCGCGGCTTCTCCAGAGCACCTCCCTGCCCCGCGCGCATCTCGTTTTTTAAAAAATAAATACTAGGAACCTTGTCTTTTTCCAAAAGGCCCTGTTTGAAATGCAAACCTAGCAACGGCCAGACATCTTTGGGCATTGGCTGCCATCCCTCTTACTAGAAATTGAAATACTCTCAGTTGTGTTCCTGGGTAAATTTGACCACAACACTTCCTCAGTATTTTCACGAATTATAAAGAGTCAGAGAGGCGGAACTGGAAACCTGGCCAAAGTTACGATGACGTGTAGCAGATCTGAGTGTCCGGTTCCGAGTCACCCCTCCTCAGAGGGTGCTTTGCCCATGAAGTAGATCAGTCTTCACTGAAATGCAGGCCTGCTTGATTAAATCTACTGACATCGTAGCTCTAGACATGTCTGTATCCCAACTTGCTGACATTTGGGATCGAGTTGCTCTCTTCCCACTCTTTTATTTAAGTCTTCATTTCCTTACATCATACCATTTTCATTTTTAATCTGTCTGTCTGTCTGTCTGTCTGACTGTCATCTCTCCATCATTTATCTATCTGTCATCTATCTCTGTCATTTATTTCTGTCAACTATCTGTACCTATTCATCCTTAGTCACCTATCTAGCTGTCATCTGTTTATCTGTCTATCATCGATGTGTCATGCCATTTTCATTATCTATCTATCTATCATCTATTTATCTATCTATCTTATCAATCATCTCTCCCCTCCCTCCCTTCTTCACTCAAAAATGAGCATCAACTTTGAAATGTAAGTCAATTATATTGATGCACAGACATGTACATTTCCCTTAATCAAAATGCTTTAAGCTTCTTTAGTGGTGCACTTGTAATACCTAAGCATACTACACATTCAGTAATAAAATTCACCATGTTCAAATAAGCGTCCATGAAAGATTGTGTTTTTAATACACACGGTGCCGCGTGGAAGGCTTCGTCGGCAAGGTCGGCGTGGGCAGAGTGAGTCCACTCTCCAGCAGATGGGCAGCCATGCTTCCCCAGGAGCCCAGGACCAAGTGGTAACGGACCGAGTGCCGGCTCCAGGCATCTTACCCAGCACCTCCTTGCTGAAGGGAAAAGGAAACCGAGAGGAAACTGAGCACCATTAAAGCCTGTTTTAAAGGGCGTCCCGCTGATCTGAGAACTGTTGTGTTTCACATTAAGAAAACCAACCCTTGTGAAGCCCAGGAAACAGAGTTTGTAACACACGTCTTTAGAGTGTGCAGAGTACACATTTAGAGAGCCACCTTGTTTCTCCACAGATAAAAATGAAAACAGTGAGAGTCTTTGGAATAAGACTAAAAGAAACGATCCAGAAAACCAGAGGAAATCTGGAACGCTGAGCTAAGTGCCGATTTAACTATGAAAGGGCCAGTGTGTGGTAATGAATGAAACCCGAGTCTCCTGCGTTCAATGTCTGAGCGTCTAGCAGCAACCCAGCTTGCTATTAGGAAGATCATATATTCCAAGCAATGTCTGCCGTCATCATTGTGTACAAGGAAAAATTTAGTTCCTGTTAAATTAACACTTCATTAAAATATCAAAAAATAAAAGCTTCAACAAACGCTTTCATATGCTGTATTCCAAGTCACAGAAAGGTTCGAAGAACAGATTGCTATTCTGTTCCGTAACAGCTAAGTCTCTTAAGTTCCATTTTCCCCCTTTTCTTTTGCTGAGTTCTCTGTCACTGAAAACATCTTAAACCAATTTCAAGTGGTACACCTGAGTAAACATGTTGTAAAAGTGTTTATGCACTGAAGTGGGTCAGCTCAAGGTATGGTATTTGGCTTGAACTTCTAATTTCTCTTTTTACAGTGAAAGGCTGCCAGAAGGAGGGAGTCTGAGCTGAATTAATACATTTGTTACAGTGGAAGTAGAATGGAAACTGCTCCAACCACAAATCAAACTGCCTCTTTCATTTATGCCAGTGATAGAATTTTTCTAAGAAATACAGGCGCTGGCGGGCAGCCACCGTCCGTCTGCATGTAACAGAGAAACCTGTATTCTTCCTCGCTCTAGCTTTGGGTTTGCCGCTCGGCGGTTTGTGAGTTCTTTTTCTGGTGAGGCCGCGTGTGGCGTGGCGTGTGCATCCAGCGGGCTTCCCCGCGCCAGGCCGCCAGGCCTGTGGAGGTGCAAGCTGCCCCTCCACACCACCTCCCCACACCCACCCAGGCTCCCGGCAGCCACTCCTTCGCACGGAACGCCGCGCAGCCTCATGTTCTGCACAACACAGAGGTGCACAAAAGTGCTTTTGAAGCCAAGATAAACGCTGTGAAGAGCAAGGGGTGCAGCTGCAAGCACACCACGGCCGACCCTTCAGGACTGCATCCCCTTTGCGTTCCTCCATGGGGGACCAGGTCACTCGTGGATGGAGGAGCTTGCTCTGCAGTCTTTACTGAGTAAATGTTTTAAGAAAGCATGCCTATCTCGGGGGGCCAGCCAGCGTCAATCATGCTCGGATTTCAGATCACACTATATACATACTGCCCTTGCGGGACCCTGACTTCTGTGTGTGGAGTGCTAACGTGGCCTACGCTTTGAACAATTCTCTACATTTACAACAGAAGGCTCAGTGGTCCACCTTCTGCTAGCAATTTTCACGAGCCACATATAAGTTAAGGGGTTTCCTTGTGTGCATCGGTACGTGATACATAATGTAGCATATATTTTGCATGTATTATTCATTTCTGTGTGGGACATAAAACTTCAAGGACAGTTCTTTCTTTAATAAATTGTTTTTTTTAATTATCCCGTGATAGTGTGTACAGGGGTCTCGGTGGACATATCCGTTAGAGCTCTTCTTGGTGTTGCCCCTTCCAGCCTCCCAGTTCCTGGCCCCAGCTGTTGATATCATGACTGAATTCACATCCTGCCTCTCGCTCCTTAGTGACAACGATTTGAAATTAGGAGAGCCGAACAAAAGGAAATTTTAAATGTGGCATCATCGTTCACGCACAATCCTTCTAAATAAGGCAGGGAACCACCATGGAAGACTTGCTGCCCCTCCGTGGCAGGCACCCTGAGCACACAGGGCAGGACCGTGGTTCTGGGTGTTGTTCCTCATTGCTGCGTGTCCCCGCCACCCGAGCCCTCATGGACGCGGGTCCGGGCTCCGGCTGCAGCTTTAGTCTTCATTCTCCGTGCCAAGGCTCGTTGAAAGCTTTCCTGGGAGTTCTTTTCTGTTCTGCGTGGCCAGGTCTGGTGGTCTCTTCTGAAGTTGTTCTTCCATAAACAGTGATAGAGAGCTGGATTTTCCATGCTTCTTTCAAGACCCCTTGTCATTGTACTGCACGGACCTCAAAAGACCTCTAGATTCCCCGGAAGGCCTTCCGGAATGACCCCGTGCGTGCAGCTCGGTGGAGTGTGCGGGGCGCTGGCAGAGGTCAGGCGCTGGCGGAGGTCAGGCGCTGGTGGAGGTCGGGAGCTAGCAGAGGTCAGGCGCTGATGGAGGTCAGGCGCTGATGGAGGTCGGGGGGGCTGATGGAGGTCAGGGGCTGATGGAGGTCAGGCGCTGATGGAGGTCAGGGGGCGCTGATGGAGGTCGGGTGCTGATGGAGGTCAGGGGGCGCTGATGGAGGTCGGGGGCTGATGGAGGTCAGGGGCGCTGATGGAGGTCAGCGGGCGCTGATGGAGGTCGGGGGCGCTGACGGAGGTCAGGGGGCGCTGATGGAGGTCGGGGGCTGATGGAGGTCAGGCGCTGATGGAGGTCAGCGGGCGCTGATGGAGGTCGGGGGCTGATGGAGGTCAGGCGCTGATGGAGGTCAGGGGCTGATGGAGGTCAGGCGCTGATGGAGGTCAGGCGCTGATGGAGGTCGGGGGCGCTGATGGAGGTCGGGCGCTGATGGAGGTCGGGGTGCTGATGGAGGTCGGGGGCGTTGATGGAGGTCAGGGGCTGATGGAGGTCGGGGGCGCTGATGGAGGTCAGGCGCTGATGGAGGTCAGGCGCTGATGGAGGTCAGGGGCGCTGATGGAGGTCAGGGGCTGATGGAGGTCGGGGGCGCTGATGGAGGTCAGGGGCTGATGGAGGTCGGGGGCGCTGATGGAGGTCAGGGGCTGATGGAGGTCGGGGGCGCTGATGGAGGTCAGGGGCTGATGGAGGTCGGGGGCGCTGATGGAGGTCGGGGGCGCTGATGGAGGTCAGGGGCTGATGGAGGTCGGGGGCGCTGATGGAGGTCGGGGGCGCTGATGGAGGTCAGGCGCGCTGATGGAGGTTGGGTGCGCGCTGGGGGCCCTGATGGCGCCGCAGAGTTGCCCTGGCTGGAGGAGCCGGACGCAGCGCCAGCTTCCAGCAGCCCGGTGAAGACCAAGAGGCACTGAGGCCAACAGCCCCGCTGGCTGCTTTGCCCGCGCTGCAGCGCAGTGTCCGGGCTGAGTTGGATGGAGCAGCGCAGCGCCCCTCCCGTGCGCTCCCGTGCGCTCCCGTGCGCTCCCGTGCGCTCCGCGGCTGACCCCGCGTCGGCCCGCGCCGCGCCTTCCTCCCCGGCCGCGGGCCTGATGAGGGGCGCCGGGCCTGGTGAGGGGCTCCGGGCCTGATGAGGGGCGCCGGGCCTGGTGAGGGGCGCCGGGCCTGGTGAGGCGGAGAGCGCGGGATCGCTCACCGTCCCTGACCTCGCTGACCTGCGCGAGAACGCAAACAAAGCCGCAGCCCACGCCAAGCGCCGTCTGTCTGTCCGTCCCAGGCCTGGAAGGAGCAGACAGGTCCTGCGGCGCCCCCTCTCCTCGCGCCGGCCACCGCGCCGCTCTTCACCAACCGCCGCGTGGCGGGCTGTGTTCCAGGGCGCAGCATCAACGTGAAGTCGGCGGGCCTGGTGGGGAGGCACGGCCCCCAGTCGAAGCAGCCCTTCATGGTGGCCTTCTTCAAGGCCAGCGGCGTCCTGCTCCGGTCCGTGAGAGCAGCCAGCAAGCGGAAAACCCAGAGCCGCGGTAAAGCCAGCCCTCACCAGGACGCGGCCCGGGCGGCGGGGGCCGGAGGTAAGACACCCACGGGGCGCGGGGCGCGGGGCGCGGGGCGCGGGGACCGGGCGGCGGGCGCCGGAGGTAAGACACCCGCGGGGCGCGGGGCGCGGGGCGCGGGGCGCGGGGCGCGGGTGCCGGAGGTAAGACGCCCGCGGGGCGCGGGGCAACGGGCCCGGGGCGCGGGGCGCGGGGACCGGGCGGCCACCTCCGCCGACACCTGCCCTGGGCACTCCAGGGCTCCGCGAGGGGCTCCGGCGGCCCCCAGACACCTGAGCAGCGGCACCTGAGTCAGTGGACTCGCCTGTGTGGGGCGAGGCTCAGCCCGCGGTGAGACGAAGCCTCCCGGGGCCAGCAGAGCCTAGCTCCCACCGAAGGCCGCCCCGGGCCAGGCCCCAGAGCCAGCTGGAGCCGCCACTCACACCCCAGTACCAAAGAAAGGCCTGTGGCGTGTCCCCCGAGCACAGAAGGACAGACGGTGTGCGAATCCCCCTAGTACTTGTATGTTCAGTAATCATTTGGAGAGCTAATTTCTGGAATCTTCTTAGGACATGTGTCTACTCAGATAGATAGTCTCAGAAAAACGTTACAAGTGCACAATGATATCAGTAAGTTGGATTTTAGTCCATTTTGTCACAAAATGGTGAAAACCTTGTATTTGGTCCCTGTGTTTCCCAGACTGGAGATACCGAGCCAGCGTCCGTAGCACTTACATGAAGAAGCGCTGCGACTTAGTGAGACCATTCATACCCACTTGCCGTAGCACTGCATCTGGTTACCCAGGCTGCAGACTTTTTAATAAGCTAGGCTTAGATAAAATAGACGGCTATTTTCTGGCAGGAAATCCTTTTTCTCTATTAGAAAGAGAAGTCTGAAGGTGGATTCTAAGCCAGAGCTGCCCCGCTCCCCTGCTGGCACCTCCAGTGGGTCTGCGTGTCTGGGGGCTCCCAGTCTTCCGGTCCACTGCATGGCCCCTGCACACTCGGTCTCTGCCCGAGGAGAGGCGGCTCCGGCGGGGGCATTTTTGTAAAGTAGGATTCTAAGGCCCCTCAGGCCTTCGCTGCTTTTTCTCAGCGGGCTTGACATTGTGAGCTAAGGAACTGTGAGAGCACGGCTCTCTCCATATCTGATTCTTAACACCACCAAAGGGAACTCCGCAGGCCCCCGCTAAAACGCAGGCCATGGGGCACACGCGTGAGACACAAGCGCACGTGCGCCTGGCCACAGAGGCAGTGGAGAAGTGAACAGGTCTGCATTATCCTGAAATACAATCCGTGCGTCAAATGACGCTTTAAAAGAATTTTCCACGGAAGACACTTTGTGACCTTCTTCTCGGGAAAGTAAAGCCTGCTCCTATCACATTGTGTCACAAAGCTGTTCTGGAAAGGTCTTCAGAAGCTATTTAGTGTGACAAAAAGGTGTAACTGCTTAATAGAAGATGGAGAAAAATAACTTTCTTAGGCCCTTTCTTCCTTGTAAATACTAGCTTGTCAAAATTGTATATTTTTCCTTTCATGTAGCATGACTCTGACTCCGGCTGAAGTGTTTTTAATTTCACCTAGCAGCCCGTATGAAGGAGAGGGTTCACAGATGTTGAATCGAATGGCAGCTGGTTATTTAGGAAATTACAAAGGGAAAGCGTAAGTCGCAGACTTCCATCACAGCTCACCTGGCGCTGACAGAGGGCCGTCAGCGTCCTTCCCCCGGAGGGCTGGCGCTGTGTCTCTTCTCCTGACTGCAAGCAACAACGGCACTTCTGTATCCACCGCTGGATAAAACACATGCAGAATAGTCAGGAAACTGTTCGCTGGCGTCCCAGCGCCACTCACGGCACAGAATTATTCTCATAGAGACCAATATTTTCTTTTTAAAGGTTTGGTCGTTGGCAGCCATTTCTGTGAACTATGTGGTTGATGGTTTTGGAGCATGTTCCTATTTTGATAGGGGGAAGAAAGAAGGAAAGTAGCTGGTTTGTGTCTATGAGGCGACCTTTCAGAAGGCAGTAATCAGCAGACTGGGGAAACTCTCCCAGGATGTGCCCTAGAAGCTGGCCGTTGAGTGAAAGGGAAGGCTAATATAAACAGAAAACTCAATCCCTGCTGGGCCTGACATGCCAGTGAAATTTAGAAATTATCCAACTATAAATAATAAATGTTAAAATAGTACCAGGCTTTTATAGTAAAATACCATAGGAAGAGGGGAGGGTGGAGGTTAGAGAGTTGATAGATGTGTGCCTGATTTTATATGTGTGTGTATATATACACACATATATATAGTGCAAAGCATACCATCAGATATTAAAAGTCTGGAAGATCAAAATTCAAATTTAGGCCATTCTTGTTCTCTTTAACCCATTACTATTTTAAAGATTTTGGTGCCGAATGTGGTGGTTCTCATCTCTAATCCTAGCACTTGAAAGAGGAGATCAAGATCAGTTGGGGAGAAAAGACTCTCCTTATTCTCTGACTGTACATAGAACCCTCGCCCCGAGGGTTTGTACGGGACCATACAGGAACACCCCTCCTGCTTCTCTGACTGTACATGGAACCCCACTCTTGGTTCTGACTGTAGGTAGAACCCCGCTCCTTATTCTCTGACTGTACATGAAACCCCGCTCCCTGTTCTCTGACTGTACGTGGAACCTCTCTCCCTGTTCTCTGACTGTACGTGGAACCTCTCTCCCTGTTCTCTGACTATACGTGGAATCTCTCTCCCTGTTCTCTGACTGTACGTGGAACCTCTCTCCCTGTTCTCTGACTGTACATGGAACCCTGCTCCCTGTTCTCTGACTGTACATGGAACCTCTCTCCCTGTTCTCTGACTGTACGTGGAACCTCTCTCCTTGTTCTCTGACTGTACATGGAACCCCGCTCCCTGTTCTCTGAATGTACATGGAACCCTGTTCCCTGTTCACTGACTGTACATGGAACCCTTTTCCGTGTTCTCTGACTGTACATGGAACCCTGCTCCCTGTTCTGTGTATATTGAACCCTGCTTTCTGTTCTCTGACTGTACGTGGAACCCTGTACCCTGTTCTCTGTACATGGAACCTTGTTTCCTGTTCTCTGACTGTACATGGAACCCTGTACCCTGTACCCTGTTCTCTGTACATGGAACTCTGCTTCCTGTTCTCTGACTGTACATGGAACTCTGCTTCCTGTTCTCTGTTTGTGGAACCCCGCTCCCTGTTCTCTGACTGTATGTGGAACCCTGCTCTGTTCTCTGACTGTACATGGAACCCTGGTCCCTGTTCTCTGACTGTATGTGGAACCTCTCTCCCTGTTCTCTGACTGTTTGTGGAACCCCGCTCCCTGTTCTCTGACTGTTCGTGGAAACTTGTTTCCTGTTCTCTGACTGTACATGGAACCCCGCTCCCTGTTCTCTGACTGTTCGTGGAACCCTGATCCCTGTTCTCCGACTGTTTGTGGAACCCTGCCTCTAGGTTCTAGGCAGAACCTAATGTGCCTCTGCCATTCAAGCTCTGGCCTGGGCTGCACAGGGGCCAGGGTGGCTGTGCCCAGTCCCTGGGTTTGGATGGAGGGGAGGAAATGAAAGCCTAAGCTTAGGTTGAAGCAGCTGCTCCTGAAGATGCAGAGGCAGAAGGGTGGAAAGGCTTTCTTCTGTTTATTCATTTATTTGTTCATTTGTTTCCAGACAGGTCTCACTGGCTCTGCTCAGGCGGGCATTGAATTCAGCTCCTCTTGCTTCTCTGTCAGAGTGGCTGCAGTATAGGCATGAGCTACCTTGGCTCTTTTCTTCACGTGTTTTTGCCTCTTAGAGCTCATTCACCCTTCTCCATGTTCTGTGGGCAAATCGGCGTCTTCTGTGCCCTGCTGTGGTGCTGGCCTCTGAGCACTGGCAGTGAGGACTTTCACTTCCCTTTGGTTTTGAAATAGCAGTGTTCATAGTGCTTGGCCGGTGGAAGCCATGGCCGTGCTCACATGCTACACTCCACTGTGGACATGACCCCAGCTCTCACACCATGGGCAGAATCTCATCTTCTGCAGCTGCTCTGTCCCAGGGAATATGCTGTGGGCGCTGGAGGGCGTGGGATTCGCTCCCTGCACTAACCTGGGTATTTGATCTTCAACTACCTGTGTATTTGAACCGTTGTGAGACTATTTCTTTTTCTGGTACTGGGGATTGAACTCAGGGTCTTCTGTTTGCAAGATGAGTGCTCTACCACTTGAGCCAGCCTTTAGCCCAGGATTTTTTTTAAAGCCATTGAAGACTTTGCTACTCTGGCACAACATTTGCTTCTCTCAGGAGCCATTAATGTTTATTTCTGACAGTAGGATACAGTCCTCATGCTACGTGAAATCAGACCATGATACCAGCTTCCATTATAAATTTCTTTGCTCATGGCTTTTATGTGATATGGCATAGATTCATCATTTAGCCTGCATGAAAGCTACATTGGCAAAACAGATATTTGGCCTTTTAAGTTGTATTTCATTTTTTTATAATAAACATGGAATTCAAATAGCCATGCACTGAGTTTATGGCTTTCTATATGTATTTGTCTACTTCGTGTCCCTTGCCTGAGTAAAGGTAAATCTTTGTGCAATTATTCTGATTAGAGAAGTTTTCCTGAAGGACAAGAGGCCTACTCTCAAATCAACCCTTCATGTGCCACGATTTGATTTAGTGAACTTAATTGCACTAGAAGAGTATCTGGTTAACAAGTAGGAAAAAACAATTTGTACCCAAAATGGATTGCTTCCTTTTTGTAGGCTGACATGAGGCAGAGGAGAGAGCAGCGTCAGATGGGCCTCCGGTCTCCACGGGGCCCCGGCTCATTGGAGCTCCCATTATGACACTGGACGGTGACTTACCTTAACACAACTTTCTTTAGAAAACCATTTTGCTCTCTTCTTCCCTCGGTCATGTTTCAGATCGTAAATAGAGTGAGTTATCTTGTCGTTGCTGTTGTTGGTTGTGGGGTTTGTATTCAGGGCCTGGGTGCTTTCTCTAAGCTTTTTTGCTCAAGGCTGGTGCTCAACCACATTGAGCCACAGCTCCACTTTCCGTTTTTTAGGTGGTTAATTGGTTTAAAATATGATTTCTTTAAACTTCAGATTATAATACAAGTGAACAAAAGCAAGCCTGCAAGAAGCATGAACTCTACGTGAGCTTCCGGGACCTGGGGTGGCAGGTAAGAACATAGGATCAGCCTGGGCGCCTCTGCTTTCTCAGAGATCGTTAGCCAGTCCGCAGTCATTTTGACAGTCTGTTCACTATATCGCTTAATGGCTGTGTATATAATTTTCATGTCCCTATACTACTTACATGATTAGTATATTTTATAATGCATAAGAACTATCTGAAGAAGTATGTAGGAAATGAAGTAAGAGTCCTTTCGTGTGGCTGTCCTTTAAGTATCCCACGCTGTTTTTTATTTTCTTTAGGCCGTGCCGGGGTTTGATCTCAGGGCTTTCCGCACTTGCTGTGTGAATGCCCTGTCATTTGAGCCACACCCTAGTGACCGGGATTTTAGCTGTTATGAACAGAGTTGTTCAGATTGGTATAAAGACCTCTATGAGCGCATTTCTGTCCTCAGATGATCAGTCTAGGAATTAGAACTGTCACAGAAACTCCCTCCATCATGAAGAAGGCAGGCGCATACCTTTTTTCACTCAGAGACCATAATTTTGTCTCCCAAATAAGCTTCACAAATAAGGTGAGGGGGAGAATTTAACTGAACTCAGTTTGAATGGCTTCTGTGAGAACAGTTTAAATGAAGAATTCAGATGTCTCCTCGTCCAGTGTAACGGATTTCCAATGTGTGAGCTACTTACTGAAAAATAATATTGAAAAATGTGAATATTTGACTTCTTTCAACAGTTGAGGAATCTACTAAGTGTCCACCAAGCTTTGCTTCCCGGGGAGAAAGCCAGGGCCGCCATCCCGTGTTGAGTGTCTGGCGTCCTAAACTGTTCAGCAGACAGTTTTCAGATTTAATTTGTTTTTTCAAAAGGACTGTAAGGTTAATGGAAGGATGGGAAGAAAAGCAGCACATGGAACACATATCAAAGCCTTAGGAGGCCTCGGGCTCCGAAGTCTGGGCGTAACCGGGGCTGACTCGGTGGAGTTAGCCCTCCTTCCTGGCTCACCAGACTTTTCCTGAGTTTGTTCTTGCCTGTTTAAACACTATTTAATAGAATGCGACTGCACGATTGTGGTTTTATTCTTGATTATGTATACATATCAGTGCGTATTATGGATTTCTTACATGGTAGCCTCCTGGGAGGAACCGGAGCAGGTAAGGTCTTGTGAAGATATTGATGCTTTTGCTATGAATGTCAGACTTAAAGTGGAAGGGGAGAGGGGGCCTTCCATGGAGAGTAGTTGTTGGCTCAAGAAGGGAAATCGGTTGGGATGGAACACGTCGGAGTCGTCTTGATCTGGCACTGTTGTTTCCGTGTAGAGGACACTGCCTGTTGTGTCTCCTGTCTTTGTGCACCGCAGGACTGGATCATCGCGCCAGAGGGATACGCGGCATTTTATTGTGATGGAGAATGTTCTTTCCCGCTCAACGCCCACATGAACGCCACGAACCACGCCATCGTGCAGACTCTGGTACGCCCTGCTTTTGTAGGATTGCAGGGAGCGTGGAATTCAAACCCAACACGGAGCTGTTTTGCGTAAATGCACTCGTTTAGCTGACCCAGTGAGACGCCATCTCAGACGTGATGGTGCGGCGGGGCAGGTGGGTAAGTCAGGGCTTTAGAGAGAGGTCCTGATTGCAGCATGGAGACCCATTCTGCTGGGAAGACAGAACTCAACAGGGAAGTGCTCCTTCTGCAGGGAAGCCTGAGCCCTTACCCCCTCCCAGACCCGCCCTGCAGGGATGGCCTGTGTTAGCAGTGGTGGGCTGGTTCTTGGCAATCTTGACTACTGACCTCTGAAGCCACCGCCGCCAGCCGTTGGGCAGGGTCATCAGATCAAAGGCAGAGCAGAGGCATCACCGCAAAGCTGTGAACACAGTGTCGTTTCGTCCACTAATGAAGACAATTTTCTCTTTCCCAGGTCCACCTCATGTTTCCTGAGCATGTGCCCAAGCCTTGCTGTGCCCCAACCAAGCTGAACGCCATCTCAGTACTCTACTTCGATGACAGCTCCAACGTCATCTTGAAAAAATACAGAAACATGGTGGTACGTTCCTGTGGCTGCCACTAGAATCAGAGGATTGCAGCAGTAATGAAAGATCTGTATTAGTTTATGGCTGCAATAAAAGCAGGCAGAGGGGATTTCCTGACATTCATTTCATCTTTCCTTCCACATACACTATCATGTATATAGTCATTTTTATTTATTTAAAGGTACGTATTCTATGTAAAAAAAATCTGTGTCACTATATTATATAATACATCACCTAGTCCACCTTTCCATGTGTTACACCGGGGCCAGTTTAATTCTGTGTCAACATTTTTCCAGTATGATTGTTATATCATTTTGGAGAGTAACAGAGCTTTTTCCTTTTCTCTCCTACCCTTCCTCCCTCCCTCCTTCCCTCCCTCCCTCCCTCCTCTCTTCCTTCCTTGTTTGGCATTATTGAAGGGAATCATACACATTTGGTTATATGTTGCCAGTGGAAAGTATAATGGGATATATATTTAGAAAGAGTTTAAAAATAATAACCCAAACAAAAATGCTTGGATCAACACATTTTTTTGTTCCAAGGCTTCTGCTTCATGAGGTGCAGTGAAGCGTTTAGCTGGATTGTAGTAAATGAACGGTGGGCAGGAGGTAGGAGCGGAAGGTTGCCACAGTGGCTTCAGCTCTTTGGTCTGGCAGAGCTGTATAATTGGGAGCAGGCTCCTCTTTGGCTGGAGGCTGTTTGTTAGTTTCTCAAGGCTATCACAGCTTGGGGAATCTGCAGAGGCAGGCTTGCTGGAGCCTGTGTCCATTACTTTCCAAGTTAACACCATAAAAATACAGATCGCAGTACGACCACCTTACCCCGTTCAGTCTGTCCGGCTGTTACCTAGAACACTGCTGCTGAGGATTTTTGTTTTCTGATTGGCAAAGTGAGTCCAAAATAAAGACACACTTCAGTGTGGTGTTCACTGCCCTGTGGACAAGAATCCCTGCACACTCCCGGACCTGACACACTGGCAGCGCTGCACGCTGTTGTAACTGAGTGTGCAGACTGAGGTTTTTATTTAGGGTCAAGATACCAAAATGACGACTCCTCTCTGGAGGAGACAACCCGAGTCCCAGAGTGGCTTGGACAAAGTTGCCATTTCAAAAGAACACTGGACACCCACGTTTCCTGTCTTTGAGAATTAGCTCCATGAAACGCTATTTTGTAAAAAGATTGTGTAAACTTTCCTTCAAACAACAATAGTTCTGGTGTGTGTGTGTGTCTGCATGTATGCGCACATGTATGTATGGTATGTATGTGTTATGTAAGTATGTGGTGTGTAGTATGTGTGTGAGTGTGAGAATGTGTGTGGTGTATGTGTGTGGTGTATGTGTGTGTGTGTGGTGTTGATGTATGTGTGTATGGTTGTGTTGGTGGGGTATGTGGTATATGTAGTGTGGTATGCACATGTGGTGTGTGTGTATGGTGAGTGGGGTGTGGTACATTCGTGTGTACGTGTGCGCATGCATTTTCTTCCCTCTGAACTTACTCTCTTCTCTCTCTGTGGAAAGCCCTCTGGCCCTGTCTCTAACCCACACCAACACTGAACAATGACCTTCAGGGAAACAAAATATATCCAAATATATATTATATTCCAAAGCATCCACAATACACCATTTATTAATTACCCCTTTGGATCCTTCACACAAAAATATATCAGGAATGGCTTCAAGATTATTGTGGATTGTGTGGAATTCAGGCATATTGTGATGATTTAAGACCTATATTGGGGGCACATTAGTAATATATTTTCAATTAATAGTGTACTATTGAGAGAGTAAAAATGGACATCTATTATTCTTTAAATGTACTGTTTAAATATATTTCTACATTTTGCAATGTGTTAAAGTTGTTTCTGCTGTGCTTCTTGTGGCTCTTTATTAAAGAAATGCTAACTGTAAGTATCTCATAAATGGTGGGTGTTTGCCAGTTGTAGCGTGTTGCTGAATTATATGATTTGTTTCTTGTCAATTTCTAAACTTTTTCCTATATGGAAGAATCAATATAAAAGGGACCAAACTCTGATCCATGAATCACATTTTTTTTCTTTGGCTCAAACAACAAAGAATTAGAAAAACAAAAATTATGTGTTCTTTTTCATGCAGGAATAAGAATGAAAGGAGGGAGATAATTACCATCAGGGCTTTTGTTCATTTTGTAAATTTATGTAAGCTTATACCAGTCAGTGACTTATTCACAAATAACCACCTTTATACATTGTAGTGATACTTTGCTAATAATCGATTACCATCAATTAGAAAATACTTTGGTCTACTTCACAGGTGATAGCCGTCTTTTTAGTTAGTATGTTGGCTTTTTTAAAATTGGTGTGTGTGTGTGTATGTGTGTGTGTGTGTGTGTGTATGTGTGTGTAACAAAACTTTTCTGCCTTATGTACGTTTTGCCTTCTTCTCTTGTCTGCCAGTTGTACAAATAAAAAAAGGAACAGCGCCTTTGTGTTTAGGAGGATTCTTCTGTGAGCACTGTACCTCCCTGCTACCTGGGAGTATATACATTGTTGCCTGCTTTTCCTGCAATAGCTCATAAAGTAGTGTCTATAGAGACATTTAAAATGCAGGTCAGAGTAAATTAAGACCTTTGTCTTAGTGTATGATCCTAGTTTAAATATTATTGCTAGGCTGGTTGGTTGAAATCTACTTGTCTTTAATATCAATCAAGAGTATTGTCGTAAAGCATACCTGTGCATGCTACTAAGCATTTCTAAGCATTGTTCCATGTAAGAAAATGAAGTTTATGTGAGAGGGGAGATTTTTCTTGAACACCCCTGTGCTAGAAAGGGAAAAACACTGGGGAAAAAGACTTTGGTGTTAAATGTAAGTGCAGCACACCTGTAAATGGGAGGCAGGTTGAAGAAGACTCTGGCTTGGGGCCAGCCCTAGAATACACAGTGTAAAAACACAACAAAATGAAAACATCCGAGAGCCCTCCTCGCAACAAACTCAGCCTCACAAATAAAGTGTGCATGGTGGTGTTCACTGTAATTCCTGCAAGAGTCTAGGCAGGAGGATTGTGTCTGAGGCCAGTCCCAGGCCAGAAGGTGAAATTCCACCCCCCCCCCCCCACATGTAAGGCAAGCGGCCTGTGGTGTGGCACTCAGGTGGAAGGACGTTTGCCTAGCCACCATCATTGCCAAAGACAAGTGAACAAGCACATGATCAAATAAAACAGGAACACACACACACACACACACACACACACACACACACACACACACACACACACACAGTTGCTGAATGTCACCAGACATCTAAAACTTCTATTATGAAGGGCTGTCATAAGTTAAACCACTTTCTGTGTCTGTACTTGCTCATCTCTCTGACTCACTGTGGAGGCCTCTGGGCACAGCCTACCTTTCCCACCGAGTCCCAGGCATGGCCGCTTCCTCCCGATGCCGGGTACCGGCGAGGGCTCCAGCCAGCCCCACTGCCAGCCTGGAGCTGCTCTCGTTGCTGAGCCCCGGACAGGTCCTTACCAGCTGGGGGGCTTTGTTCTGGAAGGCTCTTGCACATTGTCAGACAAACCCTACCATGAAGTTATTCCAAAGGTATTTTCAGAGCTGACGCTTGACAAGTGTTTGGAAATGAATGGAGAGAAGCCTTGTTTGTTAATTTAACAGAGTATGTTGCACACATCAGCACTGAGACGGCACGAGAACCAAATTCTTTATTTTAAAACCAGTGGCCCCAGAGTATCTTTGGCTTTTATGGCCCCCTGCCTGGATGAAAATAACAGAGAGCAGCCTTGAGTTACAACTGTGGTGACTGAGAAAGTTTGGTTGGAACACCATACCTGTTTGGCAGGAACATGAAATGCAGGCATTTGGTCGTTCACGCCTCCCTGTGATCTGCAGCGAGAACGCTCACTGTGCTGGTCGTTAAGTGAGACGGCCCAAATGGGCAGTTTGGGAGAGGATGTTATTTTCTGAGTGTGGTCTTTATGGACCGAGAGCGAGGACTGATCAGATTAAGGTTTGCTGTGAGTGACTATGCACGATGCTCAGGAGAGGAAGGATGTTACCTGTGTCTAAAGGTGGAGAGGCAGACACGCATGCGTGTGAGCCGCCGTGGGCACAGCGGCCGCGGCTCACTAGGAGACCTGCTGAGCACATCCACACTTGGATTTTGGCCTAGCATTTTCCTCTTGTGTCTGGGGTGAGTTGACTCTTGCTCCTATAGCACATCACACATGTGGATTTCCTCTGGGTGAATTCCTTCCAGCTAAGGCCGGTGATGACAGCGGCGCCTCCCTCTGGAGGTGGGGAGTAATGACCGCCTCTCCTGTCCCAGGCAGCTGCACGAGGCTGAACTTGGGGCTAGGCTCTGTGGCCTGCTACTTCCTTTTCAAAGCCAGACACGGAGCATCGTCAGATCTCCCTCGTCATTTCCTTATGAAGCTCCTTGTGGTGACAGCCGGCTAAGCCAGGGTCCTGTAATCTCTTAACCAAGTTCTTACTTGGGGTCTTTTGAGCCAGGGTAACGGGATTGGAGCGTGGACCTCCTTGAGGGGCGGCCTTTTGCCGGTTGTCTGGCACCTCTGCGGCCTGGTCTGTCGATTCTGCAGTGAGGTTTTCCAGTCGGTCGTTTGTCCGGGAGCCATTGTCTCTGGACACGCTGTGAGGGAGCACTGTGTGCACGGGGGTTTCCACAGTGCACTGGAGTGTGGGTGTCCGGGGAAGCCAGGATGATCCCAGGGCTCCCGTTCGCAGGTTTAATTCTCAGCCCCACATGCTTTTGTCTAAACAATGGGTTCACATTGTCGGCGAGGAATGAAGCCACAGTATCGCTGGAAAGCAGAAAATGGAGCGGCCAGCGGACCTGAAAGTTGAAACAAACTCTGGAAGTTAAAAAGCAGGCAGGGGAGGAGACTAATGGGGAAAACAGAGGGGGAGACGCCAGGCAGGAGTCCAGATGTGAGAGCACAGGTCCACGGGCGGCAGCGGGCTGGTGCGGGGAGCCGGAGGGTCCCGGGGGCACAGGTCCACGGGCAGCACAGGTCCACGGGCAGCAGCGGCCTGGTGCGGGGAGCCGGAGGGTCCCGGGGGCACAGGTCCACGGGCAGCACAGGTCCACGGGCGGCAGCGGGCTGGTG